GCCGCACTCAACCGAGTGCACCACCGGGCTGGCCCAGTTTCTGTTCTTAACTTGCAGACAGCTCTGACCTTACAAAGTCTTAAGGCTGCTTTTTTTCTTTCTGGTTTCTGGTTATATCAGAGTCTCCATCTCGCTGATGCCTTCAAGGAGTTTGCCGTGCTGAATTTGGGTTAGTGCCCTTCTTGCCATTTCATCTGGTGTCTGACCCTGGGTTCCAGCTACTGCTCACGTCTCCTGCTGTTTGCTGTTGGCCTGGTCTCAGCATTCTTTATTCTGGCTCTATTCCCAGGGCCTATCTCACCAGCATAAAGTCAGACGGACTAGAGTTAAGTTCCTTCTCCATTACTCATTAGCTTTGAAATCTTAGACAAAAGACTTGATCCCAATTTTCTCATCTGTAAAATGGCGCTAATATGCCTATCTTGCAGGGTTATTTAAAGACTATCTTTTTTTTTTAAAGATGACCGGTAAGGGGATCTTAACCCTTGTCTTGGTGTTGTCAGCACCATGCTCAGCCAGTGAGCGAACCGGCCATCCCTTTATAGGATCCGAACCCATGGACTTGGTGTTATCAGCACCACACTCTCCCGAGTGAGCCACAGGCCGGCCCTTATTTAAAGATTAAATGAAATCATGTATTTGTAAATATTAAACATGGTGCCTGTCACACAGTAGGTGCTCAATAAATGTTTATTTACTTCTCTGTTTATCCATCCCCATGGAGTAATACCCATAATTGTCCTGAACTGGTGTCTTAGTCTGTTTTGTGCTGCTATAACAGAATATCTGAGACTGGGCAATTTACAGTGAACACAAATTTATCTAACTCATGGTCCTGAGAAGTCCAAGATCAAGGGACCATATCTGGTAAAGTCCTTCTTGCTGTGTCATCCCATGGCAGAAGAACAGAAGAGAGGGTGAGAGAGAGCAAGAGATGGAACTCACAGACTCAAGCCCTTTTATAATCAGCATTAACCCATTCATGAGGTGGAGCCCTCATGACCTAGACACCTCCCATTAGGCCCCACATCCTAACACTGCTGCATTGGAGATTAAGTTTCCAACACATATTTTTTGGGGGACACATTCAAGCCATAGCAACTAGTATACTGATTTTTTAAAAATTATTGGAACATAGTTGATTGTACATATCTGTGGAGTTACACTGATTTTTAAAAGGGGAAATAATCTTCCCTACTTGTGGCAGAGACTGCCAGTCACCATATGGTGTCCAGTCTCCCTTTCTTCTTTAGTGTTTTGACTTTATTGGGGAGTGGGAAAAACAGCAATGTACCCAACAAGGACTGCATCTCCCACCTTCCTTGCAACTAGGTATCACTATTTGTCTGTGTTTTGGCCAATGATATGAAAGGAAGTGTTTGGTGGTGGTATGGGTTGCATTGTGTCCCCCCAAAAAGATATGTTAATGTCCTAATGCCTGGTTCCACAATGTGACCTTATTTGGAAATAGGGACTTTACAGAAGTAATCAAGTTAAAATGAGATCATTAGGGTGGGCACTAATCCAATATGACTAGTGTCCTTACTAATGGGGGAAATTTGGACATGGACACAGACACACAGAGGGAGGAAAATGTGAAGACACAGGGAGAAGACAGCCATGTGACTGGAGTGATGCATCTAAAAGCCAAGGAATGCCACGGATTGCCAGCAAACACCAGAGGCCATAAGAGGCAAGGCAGAATTCTCTCCTACAACCATCAGAGAGGGCATGACCCTGCCAACACCTTGATTTCAGACTTCTAGGCTCTTGACTGTAAGACAATAAATTTCTGTTATTTTAAACCACCAGTTTTTGGTATTTTGTTATAGCAGCTCTAGGAAGGAATACAGGTAGAATTTTGGGAAGCCTGAATAAAATGATGAACAGGAAGGTGTTTAGCAAACTATCCAGTTCTATGCACACATAGGGCATTTTTATTATTGCAGTGTTTGTGACTGTGATTATAATTGGTTTAGAAAGAATAGGTTGAAATTGGCTGACATGATCCTGGCCAGAGATCCTGGCTCTTTGTTCTGCTTTAGCTCCCTGTTCTTGAGGGCTTTGCACAGCAACCATGAGTGCTAAGATAAATAGTGACATGAGAGACCAGTAGGAGAAGAGCCACCAGCCTTTGGGCTGGAGGCCAGCAGAATGACTGGGTAACTTTTGTTGAGATGGGGCCAGAATTCTCAGCCACTGGTTGGCAGTCAAGCATAAAGGATAAGGGTCAGGACAGACGTGGGTTTAAATCTGGGCTCCACCCTTACTTGCTGTGTGATCCTGGGCCAGTAACTAAACTTCTCTGAGTTTCTCATCTGTAAAATGGGAACAATTATAGCTCCTATGACATAGGGTTGTTATGGAGATTCAATGACATCACATGCCCAATAGGGAAAAAAAGTCACAGCCTATCTGTACCCAGTTCAGGATGCATATTTTTTTTGCTCTGATTACTTACCCTTGACAGATTACAAATGGACAGACTGTGTTCTGGTTTGTTCCTTCTTTCTTCTATTGGTTCATTCACTAAGCATAATGAATGTACCTATTACATGCCTACTATGTATCGGGTGATGAAAAACGCTGGTTGAGGCAGAACAAGATCATGGCATCCAAATACAGCCAGCTTGGGCCAGCCCGTGGCTCACTCGGGAGAGTGCGGTGCTGATAACACCAAGGCCCCGGGTTCGGATCCCATATAGGGATGGCCGGTTCGCTCACTGGCTGAGCGTGGTGCTGACAAATACAGCCAGCTCAAAGATGATTAAACAGGAAGTAGAGTAAAAGTTGTTTGGGTACTCCTCCTCTCCTATTAGTCTTATCTTTCGAGGTTTCTGCCATGGCCATCTGTTCTACCCTCTCCCAGTCAGTAGAAGCTTGTTCTCGGAAGGACCTTGTTCCTCAGAGAGAGGACAAGAATGCTTGTTCTCCTATAATGGTGCAAATGACTACCAATCTCTCAAAGCATGGACCTGCAAATGACTCTCCTGTAAAGCTTCCTCCTGAAAGGCAGTTTCTATGCATAGAAAGCAAGAAGATTCCAGGCAGAAGGGCCCAGAGAAATCAGTCTGAATCCTCTCAATTCACATGGGGAAATCAAGCCAGGCAGAAGTGACCCAGGTCCAGGCAGGATGACTCAACCAAGGACATCCAGCAGTCATGTGGCCTTGCTGGGTGGGGAGCAGAAAATGGTTCTCTCTGACTCTATGGTCACTGCCCTACACCATCTGTGTACCGAGCATGTTCTGACTAGGTTGTTCACAGTTCCTTAGGGAGATACTGAGGCAGGGCAAGTGCCTCTGGCTTTCAAAAGGCCTACAGCATGGCAAGGGACATGAACACATAAGGGAGACCAAAAGCCCTTTGGCCCCATTAATTTGAAATTCTGCCTTCATTGTGCACCAAATTCTCCAGGGTGTACAGGACTGTTCTAGACTCTGTTCTGTTCTACCACTGTCTCTTCCTGCCCAAGCACCATGCTGTTTTAAAGACTATAGCTTTATATAATTTTTTTTTTTTTGGTATCTGGTAGAAGAAGTCTTCTTTCTTCTTTTCCAAGAATGTCTTGACTATTCTCATACAATTACTGCTCCAGATGAACTTTTGAATTAGCCCTTGAATAACACAGCTATTGAATCTTTTTGAGCTCTTTTGTTTATGCCAAGAGTTGGGCACTCTGAAGAGCCAGGCACTCCGTTCCTGCCCTTGGGAGCTCACAAACTAGCTGAGAGGTGTAAACAAACAAGAAGCATAAAGCAACAACAGGAATCTCAGTCTATGAGTACCAAGAACCAAATGAATGAGTCCAGACAGACTAAGTGCTGAGAGTTCCATTGATCCTTGGGGCTAGGAAAGTCATGGAAGGCTCAACAGAGGAGGTGACATTATCCTGGACTTTGGTGGATGAGCAGGAGTTTGTCGGTATAGAAAAGAAATGCTTTGAGTTGAGGAAGTCAGAGAAAGCTTCTTGGAGATTGAGACACATTTCACTTCAGAGGTGAGCAAGAGTTCTCCGGGGTCAGATGGTGGGATGTACGGAGGGATTTCCCTGAGCCGGGAAAGTCACAAAAAGGCTCTCTGAAGACATTTTAGCTAGTGTTTGAGTTGGAGGAGTCAGAGAAGATGCCTGGAAGAGGCAATTAAATAAAAATAATTTTTATTAGAAAAGTAATACGAGAAGATGATATTTGACCTGGGCTTTTAAGGGATGAGTGAGCAGTTCACGAGGCAGAGAAGAGGCTCCGCCAAACTGAGGCAGTGACAGAAAAGGCTTTCCGGAGCAAATAACAAACCTCTTGGCTTCCTGCCAACTCTCTAAGACCCCCAAATGCAGGATCTAAGGATCCCACCAGCGTAGATGCTCGGGATTCGGGCCTGCAGTTCCGATTTCCCGGCGTGGGGTAGCCACGGAGAGGGCTCCCTCGGGAGGATTGCGGCGCAGGTTTGCAGAGCGGGTGGGCAGCGTTGAATGCTTTATGTCGGAATCGACCAATGGGATGAGGGCACCCGGTTGCCAGGGCGACCGAGCGGAGGCGGGGCCTTGCCGAAGAGGGTGGGTCAGGGGCGGGGTCTATATAAGCGAGGGGCGCGCGGAAGGCGGGGCTGGGGTCGGTGGCTGCTGCGCGGGCGGGGCGCAGGCCGCGGGGCCCGAGCCGGGGGCGGCGAGCGAGCGGAGGCGCCTAGGATCCGATTCACAGGCTGGGGAAACCTATGGGCCGAAGCCGTGTAAATGCGTTTTAAGGCGAGGGGGGCAACTGAGGCTCGGAGAGGCAGTGACATCCATACAAAATGTCTTGTCCCCAATCTAGAATACAGGTTCCTGACCGTCTCCACCCTTCCCAGTGAACCTAAGCTCCCCAGGCTTGTGCTGGGGGAGGGGTGTGACGGGACTGGGAGCCTGGAGACCTGGCAGGTGGGGCTGGGAGTGAAGGGGGTAGCGAAGCCGGCCCCCCAGTGGTCCTCTCCATCTCCCCCCGCAGTGTGTTGCATACTTTCTAAGGCGGCGGCGCAGCAGCAGCTACATCCAGCCGGTGGGCTCCTCTTCCAAGGCATGGCTGGCTACCTTAGTGAATCGGACTTTGTGATGGTGGAAGAGGGCTTCAGCACCCAAGACCTGCTGGAGGAGCTCACTCTGGGGGCCTCACAGGCCACCACGGTGAGGGCCAGGGAGTGGGGGGTGGGTTTTCCTTGTGCAGGTGAAGCTGCCTCTTCTGAGGCCTCAGGACCCTCATCTTATTCTTTTATTTGTTTAGTATTCAGTCTTTGCAGGAGATTAACTTATTTTTATCCCCAATTCCTGGTCCTTGTCCCCAGACCTGCCCCTCCAATGTCCCCTGCCTTGAACAGCACCACCACTATTTATTCAGCCCTTCAGGTCAGAAACCTGGCAGTCTCTTCCTTTCCCCTCTCCCTCACCTCTCATATTGAGGCAGCATCAAGCTCTGCCTCCTTAAATAACCCTCCAATGTGCTAAGGTAGAACCTCACTTTACAGTTTAGTCCTCATCTCTCTAAGACCCCCTTACCTCTCCTCTGTTTTGTACTACCCCCTCTAACTGTATTATAGCCCTGCTCAAAATCAGAATTCTTTGGCAATTTCCCATTGACTACAGATCAAGTCAGAGCTTCTCTGCCTCCATACCCCCATTTCTGGCCTTTCCTACAGTACATATTTTGCTCCATCAGAGCTGAACTACTCTATTCGTATTTCTCGAGGATGCCATGTGCTCTATTTTTTTTTTTTTTTTTAATAAAAGATGATCGGTAAGGGGATCTTAACCCTTGACTTGGTGTTGTCAGCACCACACTCTCCCAAGTGAGCCACAGGCCAGCCCTCCATGTGCTCTATTACTGTGCTTTTGCCCAGGCTGTTCCCTCTGCCTGGAACATCCTTCTCCTAGCCTCTTTCCTCTCTACCCATTTTTGGACATACCTTACTTCTCATCAGTGTTGGCTCTTCCTGATTGCTCAAGGCAGATTTTTTTTTTTTCCTTTTTTGTCTTTTTTACTGACCGGTAACGGGATTGCAACCCTCGGTGTTGTGTCCGCACCGCGCTCAGCCAGTGAGCGGGAACTGGTCTCTACATGGGATCCGAACCCTCAGCGGGAGCGCCACCACGCTCCCAAGCGGTGCACTCTCCAGTGAGCCACCGGGCCGGCCCTCAAGGCAGATTTTGTATTTTCTTCCTGCATGGCCTACACTGCACTTTGTAGAAACTCCCATCTAGCTTTTATTGTTTTTTTGGTTTTGTTTTTTGGCAGCTGGCCGGTATGGGGATCTGAACCTGTGACCTTGGTGTGCTCTAACCAACCACTCTAGCTTCTATTGAATGGACTTGTAATTTAAGGGGTTTGTTTTCTTCCAGATTCAAGCCTCTTCAGGGCTAGAGCCCTATTTGATCATCTCTGTCCTTTAGCATAATGTTTGGCTCCAAGTGGGCATAAGTTAAAGGAAAAAAAAAGTGTTGCATAAAAGGGAAACTGAGTTCTAGGGAAGGTTTTTTTTNTTGGTAAGGGGGTCTGGCGGGGCGGGCGGGACCTCGACCTTGCACTCGGGAGGGATAACCTGAACAGAACCTCGGCCTTCCGTTCTCTCCGGGGAGCCGGCGGCCCTCGCCCACCATGGGGCTCCCCCCGCCCATGCACGCTTAGAATTCTAGCATGTCAGGACCAGCCCGGCGCCCATTCACAAACGGGGAAACAGCCTCTGAGAGGGGTCAGATCGTACCCAAAGTCACGCAGCAGAGAGCGGATTCGAACCTAAACTCCTGCTCTCAGTCTGAGACTTCTTGGTGTGGCCATGAGCAATCTCTCTAGGTGGGCGTGGTCAGGACTGGGGGCACCCTGGAAACTTCTCCACTCCATCTTCTCAGATTTCCTGCTCCCTCTCATTCTTTCCCTCTTCCTAAAACCTGGGAAAGATCTCCAAAACAATCCAGTTTACACACTGGGGCAACTGAGGCTCGGAGAGGCAGTGACATCCATACAAAATGTCTTGTCCCCAATCTAGAATACAGGTTCCTGACCGTCTCCACCCTTCCCAGTGAACCTAAGCTCCCCAGGCTTGTGCTGGGGGAGGGGTGTGACGGGACTGGGAGCCTGGAGACCTGGCAGGTGGGGCTGGGAGTGAAGGGGGTAGCGAAGCCGGCCCCCCAGTGGTCC